TCAAACAGCACAGCAGACCTCAACCTCAGGTGAAGACTAGATGCAAGACTGCAAAAGTAAACAGTACACATATCTGTAGGGTCTCATAAAGTTCTCCCATTACAGTACAGATTCCTCATGTGTGACCTACAATCAGCAGAAACCATAGACCTTTGCAGTGCAAGACTGTAAATTACATCCTACTATTCATGTTGAGTTTGAGCAGAAACAACTCAGCTCCCAAAAATGACAGAGCAGAAAGAAGCACAGGAAGTCACTCAAGAAAATATTTTTGAGAGAGTAAATACGCTTGAAGTAGAGCACTTTGCCCTGGAATCTGAGGAGTGTTTCTGTTGTGTACGGAGGAGACTGGGCCTCTTTCAAGGACAGGTCATTTCATGCAGTGGCAGCTATTTCAAATGACACTCAACCCATTCTGCTTTGACTGAAGGAAAGCAGCAGCTTCACACTCTTTAACAAAGTACGTAGGTTTAGTGGTTGTTACCACTTTATCCCTCAGCTAATGTGATGTTCACCTTACAGGCACAATGCCTTCAAACCTGTCATACTCACAGGATACTCCTAATAAAAGTCTCTTTGTCAGCAGAATAGCTCCTCACACGAAGTTTGTTGATGGTGGAGATCTAAGAAACAAATGCAGTAAATACTGAAGCTTTCCCACTGAAGTCACTGAGAGCTTTACATGAGTAAAGAGCACTTGCAAGCTGAGTACTGGTCCTGGGGCTTGGTCTGGATTTAAACTCTTTGTTGATTTAGTAACAATAAATTAAAAACTGGAATCACTCATAAATCTGTCCTTTACCCTTCCTCCCTTCAGCTCCCAGCTCGCTACCATGTAGGCAACTCTCCAGATAGCCACAAATCCCCTGTCTATCTCCACACACAATTCAAAACTTCTATACAAAATCAGGTGTTGATCAAAACAAGTCACTATGTATCAGCTGAAAATAATCAAGTGATGAAGTGCATTCTCTAATATATCCTGAGAGTCAAGTGCAACTGTAAACAAAAAACAAGAGCAATGTACTCATTTCCATGTACACATTGGAAACCATAGGCTAATTTCTGCCCAGTGCAGAAGTAGGTAGGAAAGGGAATTGCCTTGGGGAAAAAACTGCATCTTTGCTATATTGTGATCAACAAAATTCCATGATGCTAGTGTCTCAGCACTACTTCTTCCTCACTCAATGCATCACCTCTGCCATTTCCCACTGCTCCATAAAAAGCTCCAGTATGCAGTCCATATGAAAGTTACTGTCAAAATAGTCTTATATTATAGCCACATAACAAAACCAACATAAAAGTTCTCCACAAAGAAGCACTGCAATTTAGCCTTCATTTGTTTTCATTAACAGGACACCTTCTGTGTGAATACAGGTCAAAATAGCTTTAGAAAAGTGTCCATTATTAACAAATGCCTTTTGTTCCTCAGCAAAAACAAACTGGTATTGTATAAATGAAATATTACATATCTTGGAAAAAAGGAAATCAATCAAACAAAAATAAATAAAGATTCTAGATCACAGCAATCTAAAGCTACTGCAAAATCAAATTCTCTGCCAGCATCATATTGTTAAGTGGCCTACCTAGAACTGGTGCATGCCAGCAATAAATGTATTTTCCAAAGCTGAAAGTCAGAAACTCAACCATCAGTAATACCACACTGTTTGGTTTCTTGAGACCCCACAGACCAAGGTCACAGTCTCAAGGTTTAATATAACACATCACACATCCACAATGGATGAGGAGGATGGACACTTTCAGCTATCTATCCATGATGTATGCAAGACCCCACTGACTACCAAGACTGACTCCAGTGGAAGACAAATCTGAGACCTGGAAGATACCAGCCCACCACAGCAGCAGACAGCATTGGGAACAATGCTTGATTTCACCCCCAGGCTTTCTTTTGCTCTCCCAAGGATTCGAAGATGAAAAGACTCTCTACCAGGGCTGCCACCTCACAAGTTACTGAGTAGGCAGCCACCTTCCTGGGAGAGCCCCAAGGTTGCCCCCAAGGATATGAGGCAGAAGGGACACCAAAAGGTGGGCTAAAACCAAGAACCGACCAGGGGGAGTGGGGTTCAGCTGAACCAGCTGAACTAATTTATTTCTCCTGTAATGCAGCACTGCAACATAAAATAGTTTAAGTACCACCTTGTAAAAACATATTCCCTATTTCTTGCCCTCTATGATTCTAGGAGTTAGCTTTTAAAACTAAGCACACACAAATAAACCATTGTGTAAAAAACCTTACAAATCAATGGCAGTCTTGCTATGACCCTGTCATTTTGTTTCTTCTTCCAACAAGAATGTTACTGCAAACACTACTGCAACCATGCCCCGGCCCCACAGTAAAACCAGCCATACAATATCCACAACTTATAAAAATATCTGTGACACTGGCCTATTATAAACTCACATTCGCAATCTGGTAGATCCCTCAGTAATTTTTAATTATGCAACTTGTCCTCCAAAAGCCATAGTACTCAGAGCAACACCGTTCCCTCGCACTGTAACTGTACTGGCACTAAACCCGACCACCACATGGCTCAGCTGGATGAGAACAACAGGGACATCGCACACACTGTCACTGGAGATGCCTGTGTCACTGCTCAGGGGGTCAGCATTTACTCCTGCTTTTGGCTGACATGCTGCCAGCATCCTGGGATAGGCAGGCATTAGATCTTGGCAGGATGTGGGCAATCAAGAGTGGCTGGAAGGTTTCCATTAGTACTCTGAGATGCGTCTCAAAGTAACTTGCTAGCTTTGGTAAACAGCAAGAAAATTTCCAGTTGATCAGCTCTGCCTAGCAATTAAGAGACCAACATGAATTTAAAGGCAAACTCCATACAGCTGAAAACAAAATTAGAAAAATATACATTAAGACACTCCAGCCAAAACACTGAACCATAATGCAGTGCTATTTATTTATAAAACCAATGTACCTTATACAAACCAAGTATGTTAGAATTATTAACAAGATCTTTGCCGTGTGCAAAATGTATTTTATGTTCTTGTCTTTCTAGCAGTAAGCAAGAGACCTGTGCTTAAACTGCTCTGTCCCCTTGTGCACATCTGAACTGCCAGCCCTCTGATATGACTGGTTGGGAGCAAGTAATTTTGCAGCCTGAAGACCAAGAGAACTTAACAGAAAGTTTAGACAATCAAATCCAACTGTTTGCAGAGAAAAACTTGCATTCTCTCTCTATACACTTGTTTCCTTTGAAAGACACATGGATCATACCTTCAGCTAATGTAAATTGGCCCAGCTGCACTAGTCAGCTGTAGCAGTCTGTACCCAGAAAAACCCAAATCCGATTTATTTTCCTTCCCACTTGTTTGATTTCCTACCCCCACTCCCGGCCACATGCACACAAACCCTTCTAGCACCCTTCCCCTGGCCGCACAGGGGCCACCAGCCACTCCTTGGCTCAGCAAGGAGACACACTCTCTGCAACACCAGCTCCTGTCTCATGCAGCCAGCCTGCGTGAGGTGCTGTGAACGAACCTCTGGCTGCCTACACACAGCACCATCACCAAATTTTAAACACGTTAATTTTAAACTCTTTCTGGGGTGCAAGCTGTGGGTGTGCAAGAGGAGGAGGGAGGAAAGAGAAGGACTGGCCCAGGTGGCTACAAGCGTGTCTATGTACTTTGCTCCCTGGGCATGGATAAAAAATGTCCAACAAACCTTGATTTATGAAAAACTGTGCTTGTCTATGATTTTCAACACCCACATTTTCAGTAGCGTAAAGCTGTGCCTCGGGCTGATCCTTCTCACTCTTGTTTTCTTTCGGGGAATAATTTTCAGTTTCTGTGGATAATTTAAGATAAAATCTCCATGCCTTTTGAATCAAGAATCAGAGAGGAAACAGGGCTTTCTCCCACTGCTCAAAAAGAGTTCAGATAATTTTCCTGTGCACAGATAACAAAATGGGTTTGAATTTCAACCTGGATGGACACAGCTGCACTTACATTTACATTGGTGAAGGTGGGTTTGCAAATAATCAAGCTCTGAAGAGGGGAAATATGTTTGAATCAGATGGTTTTAAGCTTACTGAAATTAGATAATGTCTTTGCCTTCCTGCACACCAGACTAAGGGCTCATTTATACAGAGCAATCTATGAGTAATTCTGCTGCTTAAATTACACTGGTATACGATCTTCTGGATTAAACATCTACATGGGAGGTCCATCAAGACTAAGTTTTAGTACTTCAGTTACTGAGGCTGCATAAATACTTCAAAATAAAACAGCCGATAACGGTCATAGTTGCTCTGCCGTTTGAGGAAACCTTTGAAAAGGCTCAGAAAACACTTCTTCCTCACACCAAGACCAGAGCAATTTTCACAAGCATTTGTGCACAAATATGATCCTAGAAAAGGGAACACTTTGCCAACCCCATCACCAAGACAGCCACTCTTTAAACAAATGATCAAATGCTTATTTCTCCAGCAGCCACCATGCGCTGTAATATGCAGAGAAAACCACTATTTTAGGAAGACAGAGTTTGCCATATTCCTTCTAACCACCCATCCACTGCATCGAGGATCTGGTCATTCTGCATATCACATACAAAGTCATAGGTACTGCAAGAGCACACTGGAGATGTGAGATATCCGTGGGTGATTAAACTACAGATAAATGTAAATAAACACGTTACAAATAAACTAAACAGCAGCAAAGCCCCAGGCAGCATCATTAGCGTTGTACAATAATAACCACTTGTACCAAAATATAAATATAATTTTGAGTACCTCATGAGTTTGACTTGCTTTAATTGCAATGTTCATTTATATAACTTACTTTTAAATCTGAGGTAACTTATAATTAGAATTTGTACAGGCATTGTTATGCTAAGATCTCACTAAAAATACACATCAACATTTGGTTGGTTTCATTCACAGTAACACTTTTATGTATTCTTTTGATATACATATATATTATATATATGTATTTATAAACACACAGCAGTCCTGATAGTAAACTTACATTACCTTTTCATGCTCTATTTTGCATGTCAGGCAATCTGGGCCAACCACTATGGGGAAGCTCCAACAATGAACTGATGGTATAACAAGGAGGGAAGAAGGAAAGGGAATGATTTTCACTGTCACATTTATGAAGAACTCACTATATTAAAACCAACAACAATACAATTTAAAATGATAAATTACTAACAGAACCCCCCAAACCATTCCTGACTATTTTTGTTGCTGAGTTGCATAACCTGCTTTTCTATCTTTACTTCATTAGCTTTCAGCACTTCAAATACATTTTTCAGAAGATTAACACCAGATTTCAAATGATCTAATTACAGCTTTATCATGTTTTATTCCTACTCCAACATGGTAAATAGGCTTTATATGCATATACGTACATCCGTGCTGTACTCTGAATGTCTTTCCTGTGCAGTTCTCTGCAACTCTGGCTGACTCACCTCAACAACACTTAACCAGGGTGACAATATACGATCCTTGTGCCCACACAATGCTCTGCACTGTCCCATTGCTGAAGACAGCCATTGTGGAGATGGTACATCTTCTCCCTTGATACAGCAAAGAGCATGTATGTCTCAGAATGATGAATAACATATGTGATGGTGGGAAAAAAAAGCAAACCTGCACATTTAGAAAGAAAAACATGGTAGTAATACTTATACTATCCAGAGGCATAAATTACATTGTTTTCCTAGGACCAGGCATTTTAATGAATTCTGACTAATCATTGCGCTGGTATAAAATGAAGTGTTGTCTCTATGTCCACAGATTCATAATGATTTGTTCCACCTGGTAATTCAACCCTGAACATAGACACTTCACTGGCTAACTGGTACTACTGGTCTCCTTCCTGGTCTGTAAAGGCATCAACTTCACTTTTACAAGCTGGGTGACATAACAGGTTGATGATAATGGATCAGTCAACAGGGCTTGATCCTGGGGACCCTTTTCTTCCTCTTGACTTCAGCAGAACCTCTATTTACTGAAACAGGTCGCAAGACACCACTGCTGGATTCCTTCTGTGTACTACATTGTATGGGGTTTGTTGTTCATCAGCAATTTTAGAGCACATACCTACACACCATATCAATATGCGTTGCAGTAAGTTGTTTGTTACAGCTTTCACAGCAGCATCTCATCCAAAGACATCATGCCTTGCACAAACCAGTAGCCCATTAGGCACTGTAGCAATGCAAACTCTCAGGGATTTGATAAGTGATTCCTTGAAAATGAATTCACTATCAATTAACATTACATTTTACAACACTGTTCTTTTAAGCTCTATTTTGGGATGAAGTCTTAGAGCTTGACTCAGCAAACACACAGCATTACTCTCATGACATGGAGGTGAACTGGAGCTTACTCATGTGAGAAACACAGCTTGACTGCAGACATGATTGCAGCAATGGGGATTTTGATTTCCCAAGGAGGGAACAGAGGTCCATGCTCATTTTAACCTAGGACGACATGTGGTGGGATTTACAAAACTGTTTAGCATACAATGGTCTAACCAAAAGCCAGAAAGAATTGCTGGTCTCAGCAGCTCATACTGAAGCAGGGCGATACTGAACACTGGTGAAAGTCATGCATGAAGTGTAAAGCTGAAGATTAAACAAACTTCCAGACTAACACTGTTACTCTGGAAGGAAAGTTTGCCTAAACTGAAATGTAAGCTAAACCAAAAAAACAGAAGGAAACAGACAGGGGTTTTCAAGGTTCTGGGCAAGACACCTGACAGAGTCAAACCTCCTCTGCACACATGGAAGAAAGAATTTGTAAACTCAGTAAGTATCAGAATTTGATTTAACCAGGCGTTTTAAACAGAACCATGTTCCCAGTTCCTCTTCTGGGAAACACGTGGCATTCTGCCTAGGATGGCACACATGGCCCAGAAGCAGCAGACCTGCCCAGCAGCCAAGACCACCACTCCCAGCACTGGCTGCTACCAGCACTTCCCAGGCTACACCTTTAACTCTTCTCTCTAAAAACAAAACAAAACAAACCAAACAAACAAAACCCACAACAAAACAAAACAAAAAAAAAACCCACCAAATCAAAGCAAACAAACAAACAAACCCCAACAACTTTAATTCAGCTGAAATGGACAAACAAAATAGCATCTCAATGAAGCTCTAAGCAACTTCCTACTCCTCATTCCCCGGTGTGACAATTTACTCCTATGTCCCTTTTAAAAAATCTCTTTGTTCACTACATTTCTGACATTGTTGCACAAGCCCATCTTGGCCAGCCAGAACAGATACAATCTTGTAATACTTTCTGTAGTCTCAGTGGAAAGCAAAATACAAGCTTCAAAAATGGTTATTAAGTTGCATTCATGTGCCATAACAGTCTTACTCTGTCAGTCAAACTAGAGGCATTTAAGATGATGCTTTTCTTCTCTTTTTATCAACTCTTTTATGTGCGTTTAAAAGCACAAAATGTTTAAAAATTTAAAAAGTAAATTTAAAATCAAATATAAGCAGCAACACTCAGAGTAACCTCTCTAAAACTGATTTACTTAAGGTTCATGTGGTGCCATTACTAGTAAATAATAATGGAGACACTCATTTGTTTCCAACGGGAAACACATGTTGCAGTCTCCTGTAATTTTTAGTCTATTTTCAAATTACTCCAACTGTGTTAGGAACCGCTAACTTCACATTTTTGCAACTAATTTGGTCCAAACTGACACAGGAACCCCTAAATATTACTTAATAACACATTTTTTGAACTGCAGAAGACCTAAAATACACAGCAATGTTCAGTGTCATTAGTAACTGAATGTGCTCTGGAGATTGCCCATTGTTATGGGTGCAATGTTATGCTGTTGCAAATTGCTATTTGCTTCAGCTGATTCAGACGTCTGCAAATCCACAAACACTTACTGCACACAATTTATGAAACAGATTTCCATTTACCAAAGAACTGTAAAAAAATGTAATCACGTTACATTTTGAGATGCGGATTAAACGTCTCCATAAACACAATGAATGGCTTTGATTGTTCATACACCTGGAGCTTCTGGGTCTTTCAGTCTACAGTAGTCAGCACATGGTACTGAGATTCAGCTATGCTTCTGCAAAGTCTTAGATGAAGTATTGTTTTCATCCTGATACATATTTCTAAGCACAATTAACATTATATTTATGTTTAACATTATGTATTAAAATTATAATTTTAAAATTATGTTGCACATATCAAGGCAGTACATTTACTGGAACTCGTATATAAAAAGAGTAGGAAGATGCAAACTGTTACCAATGGCACTTATTTCCAAAGCTACTTAAGTTACTATATGGGAAGTAATAGATTTTGTCTTTTTATCCAGACAGTTTTTATGCCTTTTTACAAACATGACATAAAACGTTAATATTGTTTCCCTGCTTGTGGTTTATCAGCACAAAATTAGAGTTCAGACTTACTCTCCTCAAAGGGAAAATCTTACCTAAAGAGTGAACGCTTCCAGTTCACACAGGATGGGTTCCCCTAAGATACTCCATCGTTCCTTAAATGACACTTTCTGTGAAATTTCTGTCCCCTTGAAAACCTTGCGTGAGCAAGACTGGGGACGGAGCCTGCTGCTCCCACAGGCATTTTGCCACGGGCTTTGGTGGGAAGGCAGAGGGCCAGTGCAGCTGAACCTCCCCTCTAGTAAACCCTGCCAGACGTGGTTTGCATTTAAAGCAAACAGTTCTGCTTTGAGCGGAATTCTGGAGCTCTGAAAACGCAAAGAAACACAAAATTCAGAAAGAACAAAGAAAAAGCAGCAGCAGCCAGCAGGTTTAAACTGTGACCACCAGCAGTCAGATGGGCTCTTCACTGTTAAATTCAGTTTAAGTGCTGTTCAGAAACACCTCCTTGAAGTTTACTTTTCTTCCTAACATCATTTGCCAAATCCCTCACCATGAAAATGCAGAAAAAATTATTCTGAATAGCACTTGTAGCAAGTACTTAGTATCTGTGGAAAACTTCCTTCTACTAAAGCATAAAATGATGACTCTGTTTGTTCTGCCTCCTCCAAAAAAAAACCCCAACCACCAAACACAAACAAACAAATAAATAAACCAACCAAAAAAAAAAAAAAAAAAAAAACCAACAACAAACAAGCGAACAAAAAACCCAACCAAACAAAAAAAGTGGTCTGCCCCTCCCTGAGGAAAGCCTCCCAGGAAAAAGCACAGGCTTGACAAATTAAAAACTTCAAAGTTTGGCTTGTCATTTCTTTAACATAATGGGTAAAAGCATCTCTTGATTACAAATGCTATGTTGAGTTGATAATTTCCTACTGTCCTTTATTTTGGAAGCATAAGGGAACAACTCCAACTACCGCTTATTCCAGCCTTTTGTGTATTTTTCAAATAGAATTGAAGCAATTTAATTTCAGCATTTTTAAAATGGAAAAATCTAGCCGTATTATAAAAAGTGACGTAAAATGTATATGAGTAGTTGGAGAGTTGGCGAGCAGCCTGGTAGTTATCTTGAAGATGACTTATACACACAGTGTAACAGCTTTATTTACCTCTCCAGGCTGCTTGTTCTGTCACACTCCCCCTCCTGCCCTCTTGCAAATTGTGGACGGTGGCTGCGCGGTGCAATGCCCTGGCTGGGCAGCAAGAGCACCTCACCCCCCCGGACTACCGCAGAGCATCTCACCCCCCTGGACCACTCCAGAGCACGGCGAGTGACGTGCACAGAGCCACAGTGTCCCAGTGCTCGGGCCGTCGGTGACTGGTGTTGGCAGCTGATGGGCGTTAAGAGCAGGCCCAGTCTGTAAGCAGGACCAGACCACGCTGCCAGTAACAAACTCGGTGCATGACTGAGCTTTCCCCCACTGCCATTCTGCACATTTTAACTCACAGCTTCGCTGCGTGTCGACCATAGCCACCCTATGGACGCTAATTTTCTTACCTACTCTCCCCACATGATAGAGCTTGCAAACATCAAAAGTGAATCTGAAACACAAACATCTACTTTATAGTAATACCCACAGTACCCAACAATGACATTCTGCTTGAAAATT